CCCCAAAAATGGCACCATCGCCATCCGCCCAACTGTTAAAAGGAAAACCTAGGAGTCATCCTTGGTTTCCTCTCTTTCCACTCATACCCTGCCCACCTCTCTTCCTCTTCTCCTGGCAGTCCCGTCTCTGTAGTGCTCCTCCAGACCCTCCTCAGATGCCACTCTCTAGAGCAGTCCCATCCGAGGGACCCTCAATCACATCACCTTGTTTGATTTTCTTCATTACACTTATTACCAACTGGTGCATGTCATTGTGTTTGGTTTCCTATATAGTAAGTTCCCAAGGATGGGTCTGGTTCACCACTTGGTTGCCAGCACCTCTAAGTGCATCTGCCCAGAATAGGTGCTGAGTCACTGCGCTCAGTGCTTATCCCCCTGGCTAGCTGACAGCCATAGCTTTGATTTGGATTCCAGTAGGATTAGAATTCACCACCCAGAAAAGAAGGGTAGAATACATCCCCATGATGTCTCCACCCAGGCATCATTTTTGGTGAGCAAGGCTGGTTAAAATGCCTTCGCCAAAGATGCTTTTCCTTTGAGCCCAGATTCCTAGGGTGCCAGGTCCAGCATCTCAGGATATGTTAGCATTCTGCACTTGAGGTGTTTGGCCTTGCTTCCTTCTCACTTGTGCTAGTAAGTGATCCCACAGGTTCCCCAGCAGCAGAGGCCAGCAGGCTTTGGTTTGGGCTGATGATTGGGAACCAGGTGTGCTTGTGATTTGGAGAGGCATGAAGGGGAGAACAGAGAAAATCATTTTCTTTCTCCAAGGAATCTGTCTCCATGATCCCCAAGAGACTATTTCATAACCAGACGAATGTGGAGGTGAGATGGGAGGAAAGCGGTGGAGAAGAAAGTTAAAATCACCACCCTGTCACTGGGCCTTCAAGCTCTTCTGTGGAGGGGGAGGCACAAGCTTGCGCCCTATTGGACAGATTGCTTTTTTCGATAGCATTTCTCAGGGCAAAAAGTGCCCATCTCATTACATCCTCCCAGAGCTTTATGCTGGCCTCGGAACGCCTCCACTGCTCGTTGCTTTGGTGTTGGGTGTTGCAGTCCCCCTTTTCTTGTGTTTGTGCTGCGCTGAATGCCTATTGGCTGTGCTTGCAAGCCAACTAATAACACAGCCCTGAAGCATCCCAAGTTCTGTCCCTGCTTCATTTGTCCCTCCACCTCCCGGGGCCTTTTCCTTCGCTGGCCAGTGGGCAAGAGGCCTCTGGTGGGCGGGTGACCAGCCATGGAATAGGGCTTTTGGGGGAGAGCACACCCATTTGGAGCTGAGGGTCTTTCCACCCGCACAGACCTCTGACGTCTCAGGAGGGTGGGTGGTCACCCTTTCATTTGTGGTGTGGGCTTCCAGAGAAGGTGCTGACATGCTCCCTAGAAGCATTTTCTATCCTTTGTCCTCTTCCATTTTCCCTTCCCTCCTCATGGGCCTGATCTCACAAAAATTGGTGGCAGAAAAGTAATTTGGGTTGAAAGAGCAAAACGATGTCAGAACCTGTTGTGTCTAACCTGGTTCTGAAAGGAAAAGCTAGAAAATCCCTGAGGTTCTGACGCCATTAGCACATTTTATTAATGAAAGCGAAGAACTGCTATCTCTTAAGTGGGCCACATAACGCAGTAATAGAGGGAAAGGATGACACCCCTACAGCCTGCTTCCCAATGGACGAGGCCAAATCAGCCCATGTCCCGAGTGAGGGTACACTTGTCAGCTGGCCGTTCTCTGCTGGGACTGTCACCTGCTTGAAGTGCCTGGAAACGGCCGGAGGCTCGGTTTTCCTTGGAGGAGGCGCTTTCCCCATGAGCCTTCCTCTTTCTGGAGCATTTAGTCCCTTGGTCCCTGTCCCAGCTGTCCTGGATTGTGAGCCTTTATAGTAAGCAGTCGAGTCAGAAGTGGGAAGCAAGAATCCTGAAGTGCTCGTAGCTATTTGGGGTTTTATTGTTTACAAAGCAGTTGTCACGGTTTCATTTTATTGTTAGAGTGGCACAGTGATTTTCTTTCCTGTTTTTCAGAGAAGAAAAATAAGGCACAATATCTCGCCCAGAGTCACACAAATAGTAAATGTCATCCTCACTGTTGGCAGTATTTCTCTCTCTCAGTGGTGGGGGCGTCCCTGCCATTAGAAATTTTGTTCCTGGTCAGCTCTTGGCAGTAAACCAAAGCCATCACAAGGATCCCGTTAGCAGCTGCAGATGGCTGTGAATGGGGAATGAAGTCAGCAGACCTGTCTTGATGGCCTTTGTCTGGGTTGCCCCTGAGAATTCAGTTGCATTCTGTACATGTGCCCCTCTGCTGCCTGAGGCCTCCCCTAAACCTGAACTCTGCCTGCACCTGCCTCTTTAGCCCCAGCCTGGTTTCACTGTTGATAGTCTCAAGGTCAGCTGGATCAGCACAGCTATCAGGAATCTTCAAGGCCATTATTCATGCTCCGTGTGCATCCTAAATTAAGTATCACTTCCTCCTCTTTATTTTTTAAATATATTTTTATTGATTTAAGAGAGGAAAGGACGAGGAGAGATAGAAACATCAATGATGAGAGAGAATTATTGATCAGCTGCCTTTTGTGCACCCCTATTGGGAACCCCCATTTTCTGCAACCCGGGCACATGCCCTGACCGGGAGTTGAACTGTGACCTCCTGGTTCATAGGTCGATGCTCAATCACTGAGCCATGCCTACTGGGCCACTTCCTCTTCTTTAAAAGAAAGACCACAAATTCTCAAAGCCACATATCATACTTCCTTTTCCTTACCACGGACCTGCTCCCTCAGACAGGTAGCACTGGATCGTGGCTCTTGTAACTTGCCCTGAATTCCTCTTGAGCTACAGCTCACCCCTTTTTTTCTGCTGGAACTTCCAGGGGCATTTAAAGCTCACTGCTGTCAAAACGCTGATCCCCACTATGGTCTTCACCCAGGGCTGGTTGGCTGGGGGAGGGAGAAATGCTGGCTGTAGTGTGACAGAGCCCTTCAGTTGATTTTGATCAACAGTCCCCACTGGGGAATCCTGGGTCCTTTGGTGACAGATGGAAGGGGAATTTGTTCTGCCATGTGTCTACCTCCCATTAGTCTCCCTTATTTTCCCTGTGTATCAAAAAGAACTCCCATGTCTGTGGCAGAATCTCCCATCTACCAGGGAATCTGAAATTCAAATTTAATGAGCATCCTGTATTTCACTTGCAAAATATGATAACCTAACCTTCAGGGCTTACGTCAAACCTAGGAGCAAACCCTACCCCGGTGTTTCAGCCGTTCTGGCTTCTAGTTGACAGGGTGTTTGTTTGTTTGTTTGTTTGTTTGTTTTTTAATGTATTGTTATTAATTTCAGAGAGGCAGGGAGAGGGAGAGAGTGATAGAAACATCAGTGATGAAAGAGAATCATCGATTGGCTGACTCCTGCACCACTCACACTGGGGATTGAACCCTCAACCCAGGCATGTGCCCTGATCAGAAATCGAATCATTGACCTCCTGGTTCATAGATCGACCCTCAACCACTGAACCATGCCAGGCGATAGTTGGCAGTTGTGACACAGCCTCTTAGTTTCTGATCCCAGACCAGGTGGTAGCTGGTTACTAGTTGCTGATAACAGGCATCTAGAGAGTTGACTATTTCTCTTGGATCAATTGTCCTCAGGACCGTGTGAAGCTAGCTTCCCAAAGTGATGGTGACAGCATTCGCTGCCATTTTGTTGATCACCTTCTCTGTGCTAACTGAATTGGTAAGGTTCTGTGGCTTAAAGTCAAACAGCCAGCAAAGGCAGAGTCAGGATTCACATTTAGAGCCATCCTATCTGTAGTAAGGCATAGGGTGGCCTGGCTGGAAAGCAGAAAGGAAAGCCTGCATTTCACAGGGTGCTGTGAGAGGGAAAGCAAGATCTGAAATTCAGCAAAGGAGCACAAATTCCTAAACCTGGTAAGGTTCTCACCATAAATGTAATGACCTTGTAATGACAGATGCACATTTTCCAAGATGCAACAAAGAAAATTAGTGCAGAGATTCAATTATGTGTCCCATTTTCAATGGCAATTTCGCTCTCTCAAATAGGTTAATTAGCAGCAGAGATCCCCCTCCTTCAGGCAAATCTCGGCACACTTTATGGCAAAAAGGAGTATTGAAATGCAGCTGTGTCGCCTGCCTGCTCCATCCCTGTGCTTCCTTCCCAGGGCAGCCTTGTCTACTGAACCTGGCCTCAGATTTAGGGAGCAAATCGCCCACCTTTTAAGGGACTCTGTATGTGGGCTATGAGCAGCAGCAGCACTTGATCTCATTTTCTTAGAACAGTGGTCGGCAAACTTCGGCTGGCGAGCCACATGTGTCTCTCAAGCTGCATTTTGCCAACCACTGCCTTACAAGAATTTAGGGAAAGGTCTCTTCTGTTAGCCTGGAGGCGCCTGAGCCCACCTGGTGGAGAATACATGGAGGAAGGAGGATACATGGAGGAGGGAGGGTGAGAGGAAGGAAAGGGCGGAGGCAGTTAAATACCTTCCAATGTGAGCACTCTGTACTTCTTCACTTCACCTTCCCTGTGAGGTGGTTTGTGCTACACTTCTTCCATTTCCAGATGACCTTTTTGTCATTTTGATGTATATATAATACCAGGATGCATAGCCTCCTCTCCCCACCAACTCAGCACACCACTGAGCGAGCTGAACTCTGAACCTGTGCTTGGCTCCACCCCTGTTCTTCTCTCTTTAAAGCCTCGTTATATTTTCCCACCCCCAAAGCCTCTCGTGTACTTTCCCTTTGATAAGTTACTGCTTTCTTTTTTCATTCACATCTGAACCAGAAACAGCCTTGTTTAGACCAAATGTGAGGGTCGTGTTACTGACAGTCGTGGGTGGTCATTCTGGGCACCAGCTGTGGTCATCTGTTTGCCTTTGCTGTGACCGGCGATCCTGCTGCCCAGGTGGATCTGTTCACGCCTGGGCGGTGGGATAGTGCAGCAGAGACACTTTCTCTTACTGGATTCTGACAAGCATCTTTTTCATTTTCTTCCAGGTACATTGAACGGAAAGCTTTTCTAGACCGAGTGGATCACAGGCAGTTTGAAATTGAGCGAGATCTCAGGCTGAGCAAAATGAAACCCTGATGGTGTGGGGGGACGTTGGTAGCGGCTTAATCCTGTTTACAATGTGAGCTTCTTGTGGGTCTGTGAAATGTCTCTAGTGTTTTTCCGCGGCTGTTTCCCAGCAAGACCTTCATTTTCTACATTGAATTTCTGTCTTTGTATCCTCATCTCACATGGTTTCATTCATTTTTACTTTTAAAAGTTTGTTCTTAAATAAAAATTGGTCCTATAAGAGGCTGGTGAAGTTGATGACACCACTCGCCTTCTCTTTATTACATTCCAGGCCTGTCCAGCTGGCCACGGTGACGATGTGAACTTGGGTGCCATGGGGTGACGTCGGCCTGGCCCCAGAGACTGATGGCAGGGGGCTCCCTAGTCTTGGTGCAATGCCAGGTCCCTGGTAGTTTAGTTCTTGGTTCTATTCATGCTTCTCTCCATTCAGATTAGTGACTGGTATAAAGTAAGGCTGAGCCCCAGCCAGTTTGGTTAAGTGGATAGAGCACTGACCTGAGAACTGAAGTATTGCAGGATCCCAGGTTCAATTCCGGTCAAGGGCACTTACCTCGGTTGCAGGATCAACCTCCCAGTCCCGGTTGCAGGAGGCAACTAATTAATGTGTGTTTCTCATATTGATGTTTCTCTCTCTCTCTCTCTCTCTCTCTCTCTCTCTCTACCCCCCCCCCCTTTTTATTCCCTCTAAAAATCAATGGAAAAATTTTCCTCAGGAGAGGATATATAAAACAAAAACAAAAAAGGCAGCCTCAGAGCAGGCTTTCATTATGTGTCATTGGCCTCAGCTGGGTCATTAGACGGCCCCTGGCTGTCGGGGAGGCTGGAAAGGCCTCTGACCTGGAGACGGGAAGTGGGTGGGCTGAGGAGGGAAGATTAGGACTAGGTAATAGGTCAGCCAACCAGTACCCTGGACACTCAGTTCTATGTAATAAACAAAAAGGCTTTTCTCCATTTGGTCTTTAAAATTGTCCCAGAGGAGTGGGTGGAGTTAGAGATGAAACAAGATGGGCCATGTATGTTGGCAACTACTGAAGCTATACATCAAGTTCTTTATATAGACTTAAATTTTATATAGACTTACAATGTTCATAATCCTTTTTTAAATTGAGGCAGAATTGAGCTGTGTGTAAGGAAAGGCTGAAGTGCTCTGCCTCGTCCGGGACAAAATGGGTGACCTCCCAGAGAACCCTCCTCCCCTCAGGTCTGGTATAGGAGGAGTTGTACCCCACTGCCTAAGATCCATCTCCCAGATGTTGAAGCCCCTTTCCTGCCCTGACGTTCACTCCTTACTGTGTGGCTCAGTTCCAAGGGACAGCGGAACTGGCCAGCAAGACAGGTTCTCGGGCGTGGACAGCTGGTCCCTCCAAATGAATGGCTGTGTCTTGTAGGTGTAAATCGGGCCCCAGATGTTTTTGTGGCAGAATGCACAGGAGAACAATCGGCCAGTACTCTTTTTTTTTTCTTTTTTCTTTTTAAATATATATATTTTATTGATTTTTTACAGAGAGGAAGGGAGAGAGATAGAGAGCTAGAAACGTCAATGAGAGAGAAACATTGACCAGCTGCCTCTTGCACACCCCCTACTGGGGATGTGCCCGCAACTCAGGTACATGCCCTTGACCGGAATCGAACCTGGGACCTTTCAGTCCGTAGACCGATGCTCTACCACTGAGCCAAACCGGTTTCAGCAATCGGCCAGTACTCTGAGGGAAGCATATTTAACCTTTATTTCGCAGATCTAGTCCAGGGGAATTCCGGATCCAAAGCCTGAACTGAGCTCGTGGGGAGGCTCTGACCTATATAGCTCCTCTCGTGGCGGGCCCCTGAGGGTTCCTGCAGCTCCGCCCACGTCAGTCTTGGTGGGGCCTTAGGGGCAAGCTGCCCAGCTCCACCCAAGTCAACTGTGGCGGGGCCCTGGGGTTAGGCTCCGCAGCTCCGCCCACGTCAGTCAGAGTGGGAAAGTAAGACTACATTTTTCACCAGTTACTGAACTAGGTTGCAAGCCCTCCCATTTTCTTTTCAATGTGAGTCTTCTCAGCCCTGCCTGACCAGCCCTGCCTGCTCAAGTGGGTTGAGCGCCGTGGCTCTAGAATAGAGTGTCTGCCGCCTGCCAGGCAGAGGATTAGGTGTAAGAATAGGAAGGAAAGGGCACAGCCCCTGGGAGGCAGGCCTGCATGGCTCGGTGAGTGGTGAGCTCTGGAGAGGGTGAGGTGGGCTAGCGGCAGGCATGGTCCAGCCTTGGGCCTTCCTCTTGCTCATCTGTGCTCTTGTCTGCAACCCATCTGGACCTACTTCCTCAGGCAGCATTGTACCTGTCCAGACCCCTTCCTGCCTCACTCAGGACAGAGCTGCCTCCGCTGCTGCCTGGCCTTCCTTGGCGAGCCTTCGGAGGCCAGGCTGGGCGGTGAGGCTGACTGAGGTGTGTTTGTCATCAATCAGGAACCACCTTTTCATCAGTCTTGTTGGAACCACAGCAGACACTCTCTAACCCACAGTTTTAAGAACAAGTGTGTAATATTTTATCTAGCTCTTCACATCCACATTTAGTGAAAATTCGTCTGCCTCACTCCCAACACAAACACTGTCCCTTTATCCCGGAGCCGGGAATTGTCCGGGAAATGTTTGCAGGAAGTGGGAAGTGGAAAGGCTGAGTCAGTGCTGAGAGGCAGCTTGGCCGCACTTTGCTGTGCACCGAGCGCCTCCCGTGCTGCGGAGTGACCGAGGGGGTCGGGCCAAGGTCGCTTCCTGGCCGGGCTGCCGAGTCCAGAGGATCCCTGCGAGTTGGGTTTCCTGGCTGTGCTCTGGCCATCGGTTTTGTCTTCTCCTGTCCCAGGTGGGTGTGTAGGATTTCCAGGGCCTCTGGTACCTTCCCATGACCGAAAAAACTGCCCTCCAACAGCATAAGGTCAAAGAATAAAACGAGCTGCTTTGTGTTCTGCTCACCTATTTCCTGAGGAACGCGGTGCTCTAATTAGGAGCTCGGCATGAGGTCTCTAGGGGAGAGGGGGACGCATTATGAATGAAATCTTGAGGGAGCCGAAGAGGAGGAACTTTATTAAGGGCCCTGGCAGACTGCCCGGTGCCCGAGTTCATGCAACCTGTCCAGGTGGAGGAGGCCAGCTGATGGCTGACCACAGAGGGACAGAGAACCCCCCTAGAGGGGATGGGGTAATGGCGCTTCTGTTACCCAGGCTGGGACCACGAAGGCCAGGGGACAGGGCTCTCGGGGTATTGTGCTCCTTGTGGCGCCAGCAGAACAGAGGAGGGGTGGTGTGGGTGCGTAATGTGGTGTTGGGGAGGCATGGGGCGGGGGGAGGGGAGGGAAGAGGAGAAAGACCTAGAGGAAGCTCACGGGTGTGCACTCTGGCATTTGGCTTCAGAACTGGAATTGCTCAGGCATGTTGGGTAAGAGTTCATGACCTTTTTTTTTTTTTCCATTATCCCCAAACAAGTGAACAGTAGGAAGTGCTATGAGATGGTGGCCTCCTGGGGAAGGATCAGAAGCTCTTAGCTTCATCAGCACATGGTGGCCTGCTTCCATGTGCCAGGTGCTTCCTCACATGCTATCAGATCCTCCTCGTTTTTGAGAAGAGGAAACTTGCCTGAAGTCAAACTGCAAAACAGCCAGCGGTCACACCTACATCTCATGACTGGCACGGGGACAGGCGAGATGAAACACTCCTCGCCCTGGGATCTCCGTGACGGAGGGTTCATGTTGGGAAGAAAAGACTTGAGTGCAGAAGGGACAGAAGCGACAATGAGGCGAGCTTGCAGGTGCACGGCGGCCATCACACTCACTGGCAGACTTTGTGTCCGAAGTCACCAAAGACCTGGCTTCCCATCCCGTCAGTGCCCAGGGACACTCCCTGAGGGGGCGGGGAGTGCGGCCTCACCAGACCCCTCAGGCCTTGTTCAGACAGGCCTCCCGGTGGTGTCACTCCTGCACGAGCGCTCTGCTGAGCAGTGGAGACAGCAGTGCCCTCTCTGGGATGCTGCCTAAGTTTCAGGGAGTGAGGGGAGGAGGATGACTTAATGTCAGGGTGTCTTAAATGCCACTCCTTCTGCACCCAGGCAGGCCTGGGGACAGGGCTGCTTCCTGGGCTTACAGGGGTGCCCATGGCTCCTGCTTGGGACTTTTCTGCAGTCTTCTTTTTTCCTGCAGCTTTTTGTTTTTGGTACCATTCTAGGGCCACTTAGATTCAAAATACTATCACATGCAATCTTTGAGCACAAGCAAGCTGACAACTACAACAAGGAAAATGGGACGTAAAAGTCCAGAAGATTCTGTCCTGGTTCCCTACAGCCGGAATGGCCCAAACCACACAGACACCGCCCCCACCCCCTTCAGGCCTTCTCTCCAGGGTCTGCCAGTGGGCTTTCATTGCTGTGACTCCAGAAAGCTGGTAGGTAGACTGTCTGATCTATGCTCAGGTAGGGTCCAGGTGTTGGGGAGGGAAGGAGGAGGAACAGCATGAGGAGAGCACTCTCAGCGTCAGACACGGGTTGGCCTGCCTTTACCGTTAAATTAGTGCTGGGAACCAGGATGAGACCCTCTGAGTCTCAGGTTTCTTGTCTTCAAAAGGTTGCTGAGAACGATTAATAATCCTGCCCCGTCTACCTCACAGCAGTTTTTGAAATGAAATGCATTGTCCACGTGTTAAGTTACTGTAATTAAGTTGTGCACCTGGCTCCCAGCTTCCTAAGACAGCCAAGCTTATGTGAATATTAATTAGCACAACTTTGAAGAACACTGGCCACGTCTAACAAATCTGAAGCTGCAGAGCATCTCTGCTGGGTGCTTGAGCTGGACCCTCTACCCCTGACACCTCCTCACATTGCCTCCTCTTGGTCGTCTCTAGCTGGACCTTGCAGTTCTTTTTTTTTTTTTTTTAATATATTTTATTGATTTTTTACAGAAAGGAAGAGAGTTAGAAACATCGATGAGAGAGAGAGACATCGATCAGCTGCCTCTTGCACACCCTTTCCTGGGGATGTGCCCGCAACCAAGG